TACCTTGATCTCTTTGGTCAGCTGTGATATCAGAGTCTCCTTCACTCCTGAGAGGAAACAAAACACTTTAGTTTCACAACCAACAGACATACTGTAGTATAGACATAGTTTAAAATGTCCCATAATTCAGTGTTTCTGACCGGATTGGTCTCGAAGCTCCCGACACTCTCTTTCCAGGCCCAGAATTAGCTCCTCCCTCTTCTTTAGCTCCGCCCTGTTTGCCTGTCTGTCAGTACGTAAGGCGTGACAGTCTGCTTGAAGAACCTCCACCTGACAAGACACCAGCAAACAGTGGGCAGAAAGCTTAAATTAGTTGTTTTGTTTTGGCCCATTTTATCGTCCATCAGGTGAAGGTCTGATCATTTAGAAGCAGCCTCTTCTCAACAAGACACATGATTCAAGATCATTTAAGTACATTTATCAATCAGATAAGAAGTAAGATCACGATAAATGAGAGAATGTGAACCTTTACTAGTCTTTTCTTCAGTTTACCTGTCTTCTCTCCCTCTCCACCACTCTCTCCATCTCCTCCACTCTCAGCAGCAGTGCATTGTGGGATTGCTCAGCCTCCAAGAGTGCTGTGGTCTCCCGCGCCATCTGCTCCTTCATCTGCGAACAGTTTCAGAGGTCAAGAACTATCAACTGATATAGAAATAACTATTTTACTTATGACATTATAAAGATTCATTGGTTGAACTGGGAAAAACATGAATATACACTCTTTGAAAACTCTTTGAAAATTGTTGTTATCGTAAAACGTTTCCGTTAATTAAAATAAAGAAATCTGAAAGTGAAATTAGGCTGATTGGGTGAAAAGGAAACTTTTTTAATATGACCTTGTAGTTCTAAAATGACTAACTGAAATAAAACGAAAATAAAAACTAATATTAAAATATTTAGGAAAGAATTAAAACAAACAAAGATGACAAATGCACATAACAGAATTACTAAAAATGTATGCAAAATTAAAATTAAAAAATTACAATATAAATGAATTCAAAAATAATAATTAATTTATATATTAAATTAATTAATAATTAATTAGTGAAAACTATAATAGCATATACATGACACTAAAAACACTGCTTAAAATAGTTTCTAAATATATAAATAAATACTAGTTTCCATTTCACCTGAAAACTGAATGGGTTCATTTAATAATCTTTACACACAAACATTTCATGCAATCTCTTAATTAATATGAGCCCATAAGCTGTTTTACTTTAGCAGAGGTGGTGTTCTCCAGCGCCTCCCTGAGTCTGAGCACCTCCCGCTGCGCCTCCTGTCTCTGCTCACAGGCCTGCTGCAGCTCATCCTGTAACTGCAGCACCTCCTGCCGTGAAGAGGACTGCTCCTCCTCATGCTGCTCCTGCAGCGCGGCTAATCGCTCCTGCAGACGCGCTACACACAGAGGGCAATTACAAACTGCTCCCACAGATGCACGCTGACAAAATGAATGTGAAAATCTCTTACACACACACCTTTACTTAGTTATGTAAATGGGACACCGCATAGACTTTTATTGTTTTTTTTTATATACAGCTAATTATAAATACAATAATCTACTATAATCTTATAGAAACCTTAGCAGAAAACTTTCTGCATTTTTATAATTTAACAAAATGACTTTATTTTATACTGTTTTTACAGTATAAAATGTAAGTTTTAGAAGATTTTGTTCTATGGTTTTGCTCACTTTTGGGCACAATTATTATTACAGGTATTTATTGCAATATAAAATCAATATACAGTTCTGAAAATAAATCAGTTTGGTTTTACATTTTCTAAATAAATGAGTGAATCTCAAGACTGTAAAGTCATGTCTCTGTCATATTTGACCCCAAAATGTTTACACTATGAATGGTGTATATAAATGTCATTTAATGCTCATCTAAAGTCAATCTTTAAAAACACAAATAATTTAATAACACTGTTAATTTTAGGTTTAGGCCTAACGGCCTAAATGTGGTCTAAATCCCACGATTTAGGGAAGTCGTGGCCTAATGGTTAGAGAGTCGGACTCGTAACCCAAAGGTTGCGGG